GATGGGGTCTCACTCTTGCTCAGGCAGACTCAAACTCCTGATTTCAAGTGATCCTCCCACCTTGGCCTCCCAGTGTGCTAGGATTATAGGCATGAGCCACCTCACCCTGTCAATACTTTCAAGAATCATTGGCTTAAATGTAGCAGGTCTTCCTCCAACCCGGTCCAAAAAGCAGACAAATATTTAGCTAATAAACAATAATCCAGGGTCTCTCTTGGGATTTCTTTGGATTAGTTAATTTCCCTGGTTATTGTTGCTTTTATACTATTGATGAGATACAATGAATTTGGAGAGCTTTTTATCTTATTTTCCTGGACCAGTTAAGATTATAAAATCTTGAAGGAGTAGCCAAAGCCTGGACATGCCCTTTGTTTATTTACAATTATTATATTCTTAGTAGTGTTTTCATTATCTTTAGTAAGATAATCAATTTAATTGTTTAAAATACTACCCACCTCTGTGGGAACTATTCCATAAACAAAATCAAAATTTTAAATAAAGAACAGCAATTCAATGGTTTTCCTATTTTCACTCATGACCTTGGCTGCTTCTGAACATATACGGTGTGGTTCAATTAGGGTGTTTAAAGATAGACTTCGGAACTTTTTAAAAAAATGGCCTGTCATTTCCTGGCTGTATATATTTGAAGAAATACTTTGTATCTCAAATAATTTCATAACCATAAAACACAACAATGACACATGTATCAGGATGGCTAAAAATAAAAATAGTGACAAAACCAAATGCTGGCAAGGATGCTAGTGGGAAAAGAAAATGCTACAGCCACTCTGGAAAGGAGTTTGGCAGTTTCTTATAAAACTAAACATGCAGTTTCCCTATGACTCAGCAATTGCACTCTTGAGTACTTATCCCAAAGAAATGAAAACTCGTTCACATAAAACCTGTACATGAATGCTTACAGTAGTTTATTTGTGCTAGCCCAAAGCTGGAATGTCAACCCAGATGTCCTTCAAAGCATAAATGGTTAGACAAACTGTGTGATACATCCATATCATGGAATACTACTCAGCAGTAAAAACGAACCAACTATTTTTTCTTTTCTTTAAATGGAATCTTGCTCTGTTACCCAGGCTAGAGTACAGTGTTGTCATCATAGCTCACTGCAACCTCAAACTCCCGGGCTCAAGTGATAGTCCTGCCTCAGTCTCCTACCTGTTAGTAAATGTAATGACTCAGGTGAATTGCCAGGGACTTATGCTAAGTGGAAAAAAAAATCCTAAAAGATTATATCTTGTATGATTCCATTTATATAACATTTTTGAAATGTGTTAGAAACAAAGGACATTTCAAGTTTCGAGGAGCAAAAATCGATACAACTCCCCCCTCCCCCCAAAAAACACGAACAAAGGACAGATTAGTTGTTGGCACACGTTAGAGGGTGGGGTTATAAGAGAGCCATGGGAGGGGATTGGTGTGCTGTAGGAACTGCTCAGAATGTTGACTGTGGTGGTGAATAAATGAACATGTGTTAAAACCGTATAGAACTTAATAAACCCATTAGTATGAATAAAACTGGGCAAATCTGAGTAGGATAATTAGATTGTATCAATGTCAGTATCCTGGTTGTGATAATATTCTACAGTTTTGTAAAATGTTATCATTGAGGGAAACTGAGTGAAACATACAAGGGATCTCTCTGTTTTATTTCTTGTAACTGCATGTGGATCACAATGATCTCAATACAAATTTCAATTAAAAAATAATAAGCCTTACCAATGATAGTAATATAGCAAGACTCATATATTGGTAATATTTAGTTGAGGTTGTAATTTAGCGAAAGATTCCAAAGACCTCTAGGCATAAAAGAATAAAGAGATACACTAATTAATCCCACTTTTGTACATTTGATTGTTTAAAAAACTTAATGTTCAGGTGGAAAGCAAAAGGAGCCTAGATCCTAAATGTAGAAAAGACCTTAAAAGCTAATGTGACCCAGCCACTGGCCTCAGAGGCACCAGCTCAGTACAGAAAGGTGTTCTAGCTGTCCACCCCCATCAGGGATCCTCTGCACAGTGTCCCAAACGCATTTCCTCAGGGTAACAGCACTAGAAGATTTGGGAGCAAAGACTACCACACATATTTTACATGTACTGATAAGCACTACTATTTTTGGAGAGCCTGCTGTATTAGACAGCTAAATCTATCTCTGCGATTTGGTTTATGCCTCATCAATAACTTTCAGGGAGAGGTATTATCTCCGTTTTACAGATGAGCAAAGTGAGGCTAGGTGAATTTCATTAATTTGCTCCAGCTGATGATGTGGTGGAGCCAGGTTAGAGTGTGGGTCTTCATGGGTCACAGATGCTGTGTTCACACCCCACTACCTTTACAAGGGGCTACCCCTGTCTTCCTTGCTCCTGCACACATACATATGGGATATTCCCAGTGTCATTTGCTTGATACTTTCCTTTAAATTCTTAGTCTAGGGACTATGGTTCCTTATAAGATCCACAAATTGGTTTCAGGAGGTCATAAACCCACTGAAATTGGATACAAATTTTGATATGTATTTGCACATATGAATTTTTCTGGGAGAAAGTTTCCATGAGCTTCTCAAAAGGGTTTGGGACTCAAAAACAGGTTAAGAACTATAGCAGTCAAAGAGATTTTTTTCCACTGGAAAATGTCTCAAATGCCCAATAACACCGACACTGGGAAGTGATACATTTGGGGGAAATAAAATCAGCTGCCAAATCCTACATAGAGAGGAGGGTCAAAACTGCTCTTTGTAAAGTCATTGCACAGAGGACACTTGAAGAGACTCACTGAGTTCCATCTGTTTCAGCAGAATTGTCTGACATTTTGTAACTATTTGTTTCAGATAGCTTTAGAAGATAGTATTTTTGACAAATTTGATACATGATGAAAGGATATCAAGGTACACCTTAAGTACTAAGTGCTGGACCACAGCTTTAGAACAAAATAGGGGCTAATGATTTTTAAGTGGACAAATACCTTTTGTTACTTTTGTCAACTTTTAATGGAGTAGAAGATATAAGCAGCTACAGACTGCAACTTTACATGGAAAACTGTGCTAGATGGAAAAGGCATGCGTTCAATCTCATGCCTTTGCGCAAGCTATTCCCTCTATGATGTCTTTCCCCACCTAACTTCACCACTGCCTTTAAGCCCTAGATCAAGGTCCTCTGTGACTCTTTTGAGATGTCTCCATTTCTCTCTTTTAGGTGGAATTTTTCTGTAACATGTTCTAGCCTTCTGTAGACATGTCTATCACTGTACCACCGTCAGCTGTTCATGTCTGTTGCATCCAGGTATCTGAGCCTCTGAAATGCTGAAGCCATGACTGATTATTTTGTGTTCCTTGTTCCTAGCCATAGTAGGTGGCTGATGTTTACTGAATGAATAAAACATTAGCTTCTACATAGGGAGGTCTTCTTTGTACAGGCTGTGTTGAAAGACACTGTTAGGTGTATCTATTATAAATTATAACAGCAGCTACAGAGGGTTTATGGCTTAGAATGGTTAGATTTATGATTTTTTTGACTTTACAATGGTATGAAAGTGATGCACGCTCGGTAGAAACCATAGTTCAAATTTTGATGCAAAATTCTTTATAACAACTTTATTGTAAAATAGGCTTTGTGTTAGATGATTGTGTCCAACTCTCGGCTCATGTAAGTGTTTTAAGGTAGCTTAAACTACCAGGCTAAGCTATGATGTTCAGTAGGTGAGCAGCTGGGCATCAGAACAGGGGCCTGCACTCAGGTAAGCAGAGAGAGAGAGAGAAAGATGTTTAGTTTGGTTTAGAAAGAGGAGACTTCTTGCATACAGGAATAAAAAAGAGAGGAAATTCTAACCAGATTGACAGAAGAATGGGGATTACTTGGCAGCATCAGAGGCTATGGTTTTATTCAGACCCAAGGACTCTCTCTTCTTGGATATTTCACTAGAATTCTTGAAAGTCTGAGCCGAAAGGTGCCAGAGAAATGACCTAGGGCCATCCTTTTATTTTACAGAGAAGCCTTGAAGCCAGCCCAGGAGAGCCTCTGCTTTAAACCGGCTCAGCCTGAGGCAGGCAGCATGCCAGGTGCCTTAGGTAGATGGCTCCATTCTGAAGACTGTGACTTCCACAAAGGCCCAAGGCTGCAGGGGGATGGCAGCTGATGGCCCAGAGCCTGGTTGTGACACAAATCAAATAAAGATATTAAAAGAATTAGGTAGTGGGTCAGAATCACGTTTGGTAACTCCAGCTTTTCCTTTCTAATAACATTATTTCCTCTCTATAACTTCTTTGTTAACAAAGAAGTTTGTTTGCCGTAGAAAGCATCATGAGCTTTTAGTTCTAACCTGCAACTCAGGGAGGGGAAATTTAGCAGAAGGCAAGGAAACACAAACTGTAGGCTGCTTTCTGTCTGGTCAAATTGTATACAGACTGGATAGTAACAAACATCTCCCTCTCACCTTTATCCCTGTCTGTCATCTAGTTTACCTGTCCGTACATGGCACTTCCTGCGGTTCGGGCAACTTTGTTATGGGTCAACAGAGCACACCTAAGGGACTCTGTCTCTTTGAGAAGCCTCTCCCTTCAACTTGCAGGATCCGCAGCTCTTCAGCAAGAAAGGGCCCCGCACGAGGTGCCCGGCGTGGGAACAGGCCCTGCCTCCCGCAACCTTCTGAGTTACTCATCAGGAGCCGGAGCCTCGAGTCTGAGACCCGGAGAAGCAATGCGGATCTCGGGCCTGGGCGTCCGCATCTGCAAGTCGGTTCGCCCAGAGGTTGTGGCCAAGAGCGAGGGCGACTGCGAGCGGGCAGGGCCGTCCGGGTCGTCTCGGGTCCCCCCAGTCCCAGCCCGAGCGAGCGCCGAGCCCGCAGCCCGCCGCGTCCAAGTCCCGCGCGCCCGCGGCCCGCGGGCGACGTAGCGGCGCGCCCCGCCCAGACGTGCCTCCCGGACGCGCGCACGCACGCGGGGGCGACTGCGCGGGCGCGCGCAGGCCGGGCCGCACGGCGGCGGCGCGCGCGCGGCTCCGGAGGCGGCGGCGGCGGAAGCGGCGAGGGCGGCGGGCGTCCGGCTCTGAGGTGGAGGCGGCGGCAGCAGCAGCAGCGGCAGCGGCTCGGGACTGGGCTCGGCTAGGAGGAGCGAGGGTCGGGGCGCCGCGGAGAGCGCCAATCCCCTGGCTCGACCCTCGGCCCGCCGCCCGGACGCCTGGGCCGCGGAGTTTGTGTCCCGGCTCGGACCCCGGCGCCCAGCCCGGAGCCGTAACCTTGAGGCGGCGGCGGCGGGGCCGGGCCGGGCCGGGCCGGGGGGCGGCGGCGCTGGATCCGCGGCTGCACGATCGCTGGCGGGAGATGTCGAACCCCGGGACGCGCAGGAACGGCTCCAGCATCAAGATCCGTCTGACAGGTACGGCCGGCGGGAGGCCCACCCGCCCCGCGGGCGCCCCTCGGACCCGCGCAGCCCCTCGCCAGCCCCGATTCCCCGCAGGGCGCCCTTGGAAGTGGCCCTCCCCCACGCCGGCCGTTGTCCGGGACCTCGTCACCCCCCTCGGCGTGTGCCCCTCGCTGCTCCCTCCCGGCCCCGCCCCCTCACCTCTCCGCGGCCCCGCCCCCTTGTGCTCCCCCCCCCGCTTCCCTCCCCCCCACACCTGCCCCCTCGCCGCTCTCCGGCCCCGCCCCTCACTTATCTCCCGGCCCCGCCCCCTCGCTTCTCCCCTTCGGCCCCGCCACCGTTTTTACCCCCTCCAGCCGCCTCCTCCCTCTCCCCCCACCTGCCCCCTCGCTTTTCCCTCCGGGCCCCGCCTCTCGCTATTTTCCCTGGTCCGGTCCCTTGCTTCTCACCATCTTCCCATCCACTCGCTTTCCTGTCTCTCCCCCTGCGTGCCCCCTTGCTTTTTCCTCCTGTTCCCACCCCTACCCCCGCTTCTGCCTTCTCCAACTTGCACTTGCCCCCTTTTGCTTCTCCACTCTTGTCCCCCACCACCGCTTCTCGCCCCCTCCTCTCTTCCATCCTCTCCCCCGCCCGCCGGTCTCCTTCCTTCTCCCTTCCTGGCCCCGCCCCCTGTTCCCACCAAGCCCCGCCCCTCGTTTCTACCTAGAGCCGTCCCTGCTTATCTCCAGCCCCGCCCCCTCGCTTCTGTGTTTGGGCCTCTACCCTTTCTTTCCTTATGCCTGGATTCCTCGGTCCTACCCTGTAGCTTCTCCCAGTTCTGTTCTCCTCACTTCCCCTCTGGTCCAGACCTCTTCAGTCTGGTCCACTTCCTTGCTCTCTTGCGCCAGGCTACTATCTACTCTTAACTCTGCTTCTTCACTTCTTACCTTTCCTGCCTTGCACTTCGCCGTCACCCAGAACTCAACATCCTTGAGCCCCTGTTAGGCGTGATCCCCACCCACACACTCTGGAGACTTTGGCAGCTGCACAAATGCAGACGCCTTGTTTCACTCTCATTTCGCCTTCAATGAAATGCCCGTGTTTCCTAGGTGGCTCTGTAGTGCCACCTTCAAGGGTGAGCGCGACGCTCTGTTGTGGGCCTGCGGCTTGGTGGCCGTGTGTAGGAGAGATGTGAACTGTCTGCTGTAGGTGCCCCTCCCTAGCGGGCTCCAGAAATTCTGCATCCTCATCTTCCCTTTCTTATTCTCTGTGCTACAGTGCTGCCTCTTCTCCCAGTTCACCCTCCAGGTCTTGCCAGTTTAAATGCATCCCTAAAGCTGGATTGTAGTGTTGCAAATACAGTTCTGCTTTGGGACTTTCCAAACTCAAACATTCCCAGTTCTAGAAAGGAAATAAAAAGTTCAGTCTAACTTTGTCAAGGATTTTCCCCCGGAGTTTTCTGTTCAGTGGCCAGTTTGGTGAGAACTCCAAAGTCGGGGTCTGGTCAGGTCCTTTCAAAGAAAGAATGGGCATTCTGAACACTTTATGGCGGATGCATAACCATAAAGTCATCAGTAAACTCTGTGAAAACAATAGTAGATAATTTTTTTCAAACTAAAATTTACTTTGAAAGCCCATAATTGTTGCATGACTCACCTTTTGTTTTAAGAATTTTTTGTTTTTATACAAAGATGTCAGATAATGACTTAGACCCAAAACTCTCGTTTTGTAAAGTAACAGGTATATCCTCAGAATCTTTGCCTCTGGAGAAATGTACTTTATACCAGGTGGATAGAAAACACTTCTTACTGTGTAGATACAGTGTATATACATTGTTATTTTTGTGGTTACATGAAAGTCACATTTTTTGACATTGTAATACTTATAAAACTTTAATTACTGACAATTTTAATTTGGTTCTGATTTACAGTGTAATCTATAGTTGACATCAGACTGGTTTTAGTTTTCTTGTTAAAAGCAGAAGTAACTGATTTTGTGAGTTTTGGTAGAAATGCGATTGTTTTTAGCAGGAATAGTTTTTAATTACAATATTTGTGTCAGGTGTATATATTAACCAGTTCTAGTTAGATATGGGTCTTTTCCTCGTGAAAGGGAGGACTTGGTTTGCCCTCCTCCCAAATTATTTTTGGATTCAGGAATTTGGATGTAATAAATGAAGGAATGCTTGAAGAGTTTTTGGATGGCATTTGATATGGAAGGATCAGGTGATGAGTGTTTTTTCTGAAACACCTTTTTTCTTCCCCCAACTCCCATAGATGTTATTAAGGATCTGAGAAATTCTGTGTTTGATCTCCCTACAGTAGGAGTGAGGTTTAGCAGTGGTTGTGTACACACGCAATGCCAGTACATAGAATTTATGTGGAAATGTTGCAACTAGAGATTTTGTTGACAGTGGAATAGGTTTTTGCCTTATCCTTATGGTGTGTTGGGTAGCAATCTTTCAAAAGTTGAATGCTTTTGTTATAGGTCTTACAGTTTATTTCCACATTTGCTGTTTGAAAAAAAATGACTCCTAAAAATAAGAGATATTCTAACCGTCAGTGAATATCACATAGAGCATAATTCAGTGCAAAGACAGTGAAGACATTGCAGCTATAAAAGAGCATTTAGAACTTTTGGGCCCATGATTGTGTTTAGTAGTGAATAAAACAATAGATGCAGAGTTAGGAGACTTGGATTCTGGTCAGATCTATCATTAATGGCATGATAGGAAACAAATTATTTAATCTTTCTGGGTCTCAGATTCTTTATGTATCAAATGAGATTTCAACTCCATTGTAACATTCTTTGATCCTCCTCCCCACAGGATGTATCAGTTTGGCTACCTACTTATTTCAAATTACTGTCAGGCACTTAAATGCTTTCTGTTGTTCTCAATCCTGATATTCAAAAATTTGTGTTAAAGCACAACCCTTGTGTTTGATTTATGCCAAGTATTAATGTTGTATATTGATTACTTTTAGGATTTTCCCCCCTTTGGGACTCTCTTTGATTTTGAAAACTGGTAATATGCTGAAGTGCTTTGGCAACCTGGTCTAAACAGAAGAATGTTTGAGTCTTTATATTTAAAATAGTATGATTTTAAGGAATGTCTTTGTGCTATTTTAATAGGAAAATAGTTTTTAAATGGTTTCAGTAGATTTGGGGTATAATATGTGCAAAATCAAGTGATCTTTGTTAAAGAGCATTATCTTGCAGACACTTTAGAGTTCACTGGCAAATCAAAGACTTTGGAAATATTTTGGTTCAAAAACAAGCAGGATTTGCAAAACTTTTGTTCTTATGTGCTAGACAAATGAATCCCTGATACAGTATTTAGACCACTTTGGGTAAAATAATGGAATTTTGAGCTCCAAGAGTTCCATAGTGCTCCTCAAGAAAATTAAATTTTACTCTAATTAGTTGAAATACCAAGTGCTTAAACTTTTTTGTGCTCTTGTGCCTTGAAATACCCTCATATCTCCTTGTGTTTTTATTAAATATATCTTTTGAAGCATGACTGCATATTGTGAAGAGGAAAAAATTGTAATTCCAAGTAGAGAGGGGGAAAGAGACCTTCCTTGATAGCATATGGAAATGTGAAGCTATTTTTAAAGTTGTAGCACATGTGATGTAAGGCTGGCTTGTGTTTGGTATTCAGATGATGCAAGTTGGAACAAAATAGTTGTAGTAATAGCTGGTAATAACTTTCATTGATCAATAACGGTTAGGTGACCCAATTGATTCAAAACAGTTAAGTTTCTCTTAAGAAAGATTAAGAAAACCGTTATGAGGGTTGACTCTATCAATTTGTACCAGCAAAGAACCTCACTTGTGGAAGGCAGGCAAAACTTTTTTTTTTTTGAGACAGAGTCTCACTTTGTTGTCCAGGCTAGAGTGAGTGCCGTGGCAGCAGCCTAGCTCACAGCAACCTCAAACTCCTGGGCTCAAGCGATCTTCCTGCCTCAGCCTCCCGAGTAGCTGGGACTACAGGCATGTGCCACTATGCCCGGCTAATTTTTTCTATATATATTAGTTGTCCAATTAATTTCTTTCTATTTATAGTAGAGACGGGGTCTTGCTCTTGCTTAGGCTGGTTTTGAACTCCTGACCTTGAGCAATACACCTGCCTCGGCCTCCCAGAGTGCTAGGATTACAGGCGTGAGCCACTGTGCCTGGCCCGGCAGGCAAAACTTTTAACAATCATAACACAGTTGAGATGGAATAAGTTGATCAGTTTCTAGCTATGCTCTGCATCTGAGTTCACATGACATTTTCCTTAGGGTCTGCCTCAAGTTTAAGAAGGGACAGTGAAGGCATTTCTTTGAGCTGAATTATCTAAAGGTATAGGATAGGTTAGATCAAATGCTGTTGCAAAACTTAAATTGCATTTATTCTTTAAGAGGAATCACATTCTGCCAAATACAGGTTCTGTCATTGTTTTTGTGATTTGATTACATTTGTGTTGTCTTTTTAAAAAACTTTTTCCAAATCCATTTTTCTCCTTTTAATCTTCTTGGCCCACCTAACTGACTTTAGACATGAAATCTTTCATATTCTTTCTTTCTTTTCTGTTTTGACAGGGTCTGTCTCTGTCACCCAGGCTGAGTGCAGTGGAGTCCTCATAGCTCACTGTAACGTCCAATGCCTGAGCTCAAGTAATCCCCCTGCCTCAGCTTCCTGTCCTAGTAGCTGGGACAACAGGCACATGCCACTATGCCCGGCTACATATGCTTTATTTCTATCTGTATTTTTGCAGTAGTTGTGATTTATCAAACCAGAATTGTTTTACTTCAGGTCTGTTTGTCAGAGTTTAAGACTCTTATTTTTGCAACCATGAATGTCACTTCTCAATGTCAGGTTTTTCCTTCTCTTCCACAAATGTTCATTTTCTTGGTTCAGTCACAGCGGCAGGTTCTAGTGGGGAACATTGTGTGAAACAGAAAGAGTTTCTGGAGGCTGAGTTACTTAGGAAGAATTTCCTCATGAATTAAGAAGGAAGAAAGAAAAAAGAAAGACACATAAATTTCAACATC